GCTCCTCCAAGAGCGTCCCCTCAGGGAACATAATCCCGTCAGTCACTTGCTGTAATAAGTGCCGTTTCACGTATGGTCGCGACAATAAGTGTGTCCTTGCTCATGGAAAATTTTTACTGACTACGTGATGAGCTAACTGCTACAGAGCATGAATCGTCTTTATTAATTAACATTGGTTTCATCACCTAAATTTAATGATGCTATTTTTTGCTCTACTGACTTTTTGTAATAATCAATTAACATTTTGACCTAAAAAAGTTTACAAACAGACACTAACGAATAGACATTTACAAATTCGGAGCTCTTTAGCATGATAACATTATTTTTTTCATCTGCTTCAGTAGGTGGAGCCTACAACGGAACAATTCGCACTGAAGCAGAGTCTGCAAGATGCTAAATAACGCAAAAGCCTGAAGTCAAACAGCATCCACCTGTTCGACTTACTGACAGGCAAGAAAATTTTAGATGAGGATTGATAAAAAGACGCAGGAAATGCATATGAGTTGTTATACAATGTCAAGCTAGGCAAGAATGTGGTGCATAAATCAGTTGCTGGACGTCTCGAAGCACCAGATCGTTTACGGAAGAAGGCATTAAATGGAACCAAATTAATTCAATTTTTTTACAAAGTGCTCTTGTAAACCAAGAGCTATTGTGCGTTTAAGACAGGACAGCAGCTTGTACGAAGCAATGACACCCTTCTTGCGAAAGGCCTTGTAAATTTGGATAGCAATTAAAATTGCAGTAGTGATCCAAAATTTTTGAACATCTTAGCATCGCTAATCAGATGCTGTGGTTAAAAAAACTTTAAAAATTTGAGACCGAAAGTAGTGTAGCGGATCCTGCTTAAACAGCTTCTTCCCCATAAACTGTGCGAGATAGTGGTCTGAGTGAGTCCGCATTTTTGTAAGCTTTCTTAATTTATTGCTGAAGGCAGGTAATGGTGTTCGTGCAAGCACTAGTGACAGCAGTGATAAAGCGCAACTTGTGTCACTGTTAGGTATTAGTACCCTTCAGGCAGGTTTTTCATGCCCTTACAAACCACCCACAAATAACAACGCGGAACTCAATTTTTCCTTGTAAGCATTTTTTGTGCCTGAAGTATCTCTTTGGACACTACCGTTTTAATTTATGTCCGTAGTAAAAGTCATTCAAATACTGCAGAGGCAAACGTTCCGCACAAATACCAGCGTTAAAAGTTGCAGCCAGTATTCAAACCCCTTTTCTGAAAACGCACTTTTTGGAGGAAGACTCCTGCGTTTGAAGGAAATAAAGGAGTCTGTTTCGGGAAATATGAAACATTACCAGCATTAAATGCTTGGTGAAGAATAAGAAAATACTTTTTTTAGGCTTCCTGTTGGAAAAGATTTTGCAGAACTATAATACAGAAGTTGTAGAGTTGAAGCTTAAATTGAGGTGTTACTTTGAAAATGATTGTATTTTACAAATGGCTGATAAAGTTCAGACTGCTTCAAAAAAGGATAAATCAAAAAGATTTGCTCTCCTTCTAATTTTTTCTTCCTTTGGCGAAGAACTACACAAAAATTTTCCAAAAAATGCTATCGTTGTCCTTTTTGAGCTTTTTACCTTTTTTTTTGCAAAAAGCTTATTACATCTATCGGTCTCTTCATTTCCTGAACAAGTGTCTTGGAAGAGAACCATTTTTGCTTTGATGCTCCTGAAGTAGCAAAATCGATTTAAATTTATTTTTTCTCTCATTTGAAGAGAATTTGTGTCTTTATTCCAGAATGCTGGTACCATCACGCTAACCGGTTCTGCTACTTGAAGGTAATTAGCGTGGTGGACTTAGCAGGCTAATAGGGAACCATTAGCTCTTTGTTCTGCATTGCCTTTGTCCTGTTCTCATTTTGACCGGCTTTGACTGCATCACTTAAATTTATGGCTTTTACCCAACATCTGCTGCTTATTTTGTTTCGAGTAATTGCTGTAGAACCCACTCTTTATTACAGCAAAGAAGAAGACATAACGAGCACCTTCTAATATAAAATTGGTGGGATTTCCTCGCTAGTTGACAAAATCGGAGCGTTTCGTAAATAGGGTCTTTATTCCTTTCACGATTCAAAGAGGCGTTCTTCTTGTCTTCAGCAGAATTATTCGCTAAAAGTGGCACGGTCATATCGAAAAAAAGTCTGTGTTTAGAAAAGTACATACCGGCAGAATATTGGATTGGCTTGAAGCAAGTGAATGCAAAATGGCAGTGGATGAACACAGCTGCTGTTGATTACAAGACATGGAGTAAATATAATGTGACTAATGATGTATTTGGCGTTCAGAAATGTATATTCGTTAATGCAACCGGTGGCTGGAGTCGGGCAGATTGCGAGCAGAAGTTTAACTTTCTTTGCAAATTTGAGCGTATGCCTTTATGTGAACATTGGCATTTTTCTTGTAGTTTTGCAAATGCTTTTCACTGCTTTTAGTCAACAATTACAGCAAAAATGTGGTGCAGACCAGGCTTCACTGAGTTTAACAACTTTTGTTACAAAATCGTAAGTCATACTACTTGATCTAAAGAACAACAACAGCACTTTAAATAATTCAACATAAAGCCATAAAAATCTCTTTCAATGTTTTATAATGTATTATAGATTTCTTTATCTCTAAAGAAGTTCTGTTTGAGCAAAGATCATTGTTTGTAAGCTGCAGGTTGACACGGAAGTTGAATGGCAAAAGGCCCAAAAAATTTGTTCTCGTTACGGCTCAAATTTAGTGTGGATTACATCTAAGGAGGAACAGGAATTTTTAAACGGTAGAAGCTACATTCAGTAACAGTTCTTAACGCAAAATACAGGCAATTTTTTTAAAAGAAAAAATGTAGTCTTTTAAAGAAAATTTCTTTTTTCTTTAGAATTTACGAGGTCAAAGCCATTTTGGCTTCCTGCTGTATTTTATTCTGGTAAATGGATTTGGTCTTATGGTGAGCAACCAGGTTTTTCAAAATGGAAACCAGGCGAACCTAATCAGTGTTGCTCTAGCGGAAAAATCTTTACTGCGTATAGCCGACCGGAAGGGTGGAGTGACACTTCACCTTTCTTCAGAGCAGCTGCTGTTTGCAAGTATAAAAGTTAGTTTGAAAATCTCTCACATTATAGCAAATTTATAATGTCAACTTTTGATTTTTTTCTAGTTGCTTTTATATAAATTCGTTGATGCTTAACTATTGTAAAGAAAGAGTAGGTGACCTTCAAGCGGCGAATACACAAAATACTTTGATGTGCTGCGCATTTACAGATTGCTTTAAACAGTTTCAAACTCTGTATTTGCTTTAGAATGTGACAACAACTTAGATAACATTCGTTTGTTTTTCTGCAGTGCTCTAAAAAAATCTTAATTTTTAGAAGGTCATTTATACAAAAACCTTCAACGACAGTACTACGCAGCTGTAATAAATGAAATGGAGGAAGATGTAAGAAAAGAGAAACTTGCAACTTAAAAATCTGTTCCTCTTGGATTTTTTATTGACATTTCTTTAAAGCAAATTCAAAGTTTTCCTAAAGGCCATTTATACCTATAATTTCTTCGTGCATTTTTTTGTTACACGGAATTTTTCCTCTAGAACGAACTTGGAACAATTGAAATTATTGGAAAAACAAAACAAAGTTAGTGAAAGTATTAAGAACAGAACTAAAAATTTGTTATTTTTTCAAACTTTTTCTAAACTGGGGTTTGTAGTATTTAGAAAGTTTTACAATAACTATTCCCCTTAACGTATCTTCTACTTTATTTTGTTCGATGCCAGACCATTCTTCAGAAAAACAAGACAATTTCTTAAATAGTTCCCAAGAAGAAGCCGGGGCTGGTAGAAGTGTTAACGATAGTGGCGGTTTTAACATTCTTTTACCAATCTTTTTACTAACTTATGTTTGCGGTAGTTCCACAGCTATACTATAAACAACTTGTACCTTGTTACCAATCTTGTTGGGCTCATTTCTTTTTGTAACACGAAAGCAGTCTTAAAGGCAGTACAGGCTAACTCCAATAAATAAAACGAGACAAAAATAGCAGCGAAAATACCCACAAGAGCGGCAAGAACTATTTATTTTTACCAAATTACCTTATCTTCCAGAGTTATAGCAATTTTAAAGTATCGCCACAGGAGAACCGTCACTCTAATATTCATTGTGTCTTTCTCTATAACATGGAACCATTTTCCAGAGACAACCGAGGTCAGCTAACACAGCAAAAAAATCCAAAATGAAATCAGTAAAAGCACCGACGATAGCGGTAAGATTTGTTTTATTTATCACGCTGTCTGCAAATTTTTATCTGCAGCAATTTCAAAGCCTTGCCATGAACTGCTTGCAAAGCAATCTTGCTTTTGTTGTATTGTTCTATCCTGCAACAAAAAAAACTTTTCAGAATATACAGAGAACACCTGAAACGAATGAAAAAAATAAAATAAAACTTCCAAAATTACCGGCGAAAAGAGTGAGAATTTGTCAAGTTTTATGAAAATTGTTCATAAGTCTTGCTTATAGCAGTTTCAAACTTCTACAGTAATTATTTATACTTTTCCGTAATTTCTGCCATGTTTTATTCAATAGCAAGCCACTCTTTAGCGAAAACCGAGACTAACTATAACAGCTTTGAAAAATAATGAGGAAATAGAGACATTACAGGCTACAGCAGCAAAAATGTCTCACTTTTTTAAAACTTTTCGTAACTCACGGTTTTAGCAATTTTAAAGCCTTAAAGTAGCGACTTTATCTCATCATCAATTTCACTACACTTCCTTGCAACAAAAAACCGCGTTTCAGAGCATACTAAAACCAGTCAACACAACAAAGGAAAACAAAACAAAATCAGAGACAACATCGATGACAGACGTAAGAACTTGTTTGTCCCAACAAATTCTTCATAACTCACAGTTATAGAATTTCGCAGTACCTACAGCTGCCTAAGAGTAACTGTATCGTACTTTCACTTGCAGCATAAAACTACTCTACTGAGAGGACCGACACCAACTGAGAGAGTAACAACAGTTGGACTACAAAAGCAAACCGTAAGAATTTCTTACCTATTCCAAATTTTTTCCATGACATTGAAAGTACCGAAGGCAACAGCATACGTTCGTTGCTTTCGACAAACTCTTTATTAACTTTTTTTTTGTGGCAATTTCCAAGTTTTCAGCACGCGATCTCTGATTCATTTTAGTTCATACTGTGCTTAGTTTCTAATACGAAGCCCCTTTAGAGGACATTAAAACTGATTGAAAAAAGCGAAAGAAACAAAACACATCCATTAAATGTACTGACGACAGCGATATGAATTCACTGCCTTGAGCAGGCTTTTTATTAGCCTTCTTCCTTAGCAGCTTTAAAGTTCATTATGTCATCTATAATTCAACTTATTCTCCATTTTTTCTTTTTGTATTCAGAAACCGCTTTAGGGGGAACCGAAACCACATGAAACAACTAAGGGTAACAAAACAAGCCCAGTGAAAGTACCGACTACAACGGTATACGTTCGCTGGTTTCGACAAACTTTTTGCTAACCTTTTTACTTAGCAATTTTTAAGTTCGCCGTACGTGATATCCGCTTCAGTTCAGCCCATATTATGTTTTTCTTCTAACAGGAAACCGTTTCAGGAAACACCAAAATCAACTGAAACAACTAAGAGTAACGAGACAAAAGCAGTAAAGGTACCGTCGACAACGGTATGAGCTCGTCTTGAAGAACTTTATGCTGACCTTTTCTTCCAGCGATTTTCATGTGTAAACCCTCTGTTCTTCAACT